CTCTGGGTTGATGGGTGGTGTGGATGGTGTCCGGCCCGGTGGGTGGTCACCTGGTCCAGTGCCTCCCTCGCAGGGCTATGCTTGCCAGGCAGCTGATGGCACTGGTTGTGATCCTGTGGCAGACTCCAGCCCGGGTCAGGTAGTCCGAGGCCAGGGCGCGCATTGTGTCAGGCCCGAAGGGGTTGAAGTGGCCGGGGAGGACGGTGTGGACCTGGCCCTGGTCCAGGAGCTCCAGGAGGCGCCTACAGCTCCGGCGGTACTGAGCCACATCGCTGTGGGGTAACCAGTCAATGAGAGCGCCATCGTACAGGGTGTCCCCAGTGAACAGGAGGCCACCCCTCGGCTCATGGAGACACACACTGCCCCGGGAGTGCCCGGGGGTGTGTAAGACCCGGAGCTGCCTATCACCCAGCTCCAGTAGGTCACCATCCTCCAGCAGGAGGCCGGGCCTCACGGCCTGTAGGCGGTAACGGCGGGCCGTCCATCCGGGGCTGGCCCCGGGAGGCCGGCGGCTCAGCTCCCCGTCACTCAGCCAGGTCACCGCCTCCAGGTCATCACCGCGGGCTAGGGCCTCCGCCTCGGCCCGGTGTACCGCCACCTCCCCGGGCTCGAAGTGCTGCAGGCCGCCCGTGTGGTCAAAGTGGACGTGGGTGGCGACGGCCAGCAGGGTCCGGGTGCCGCTGAGCAGGCCGGCCCGCCGCAGGTACTCGGGCAGGCTGCCTAGGCCCAGGCCCGTGTCTACCACCACGTCCCGCTCCGAGCCCTGCAACAACCACACATTCGCCCGGTTCCCCGACTCGAAATAACGCTCCCGGATCAGGTACAGGCCGTCAGCCAGGCGCTGGTGGTAGAACCACTCCCCGGGCCGCTCCATCCTCCCCCCCCTCGGTCACACACACACACAGCTGCGCCGCTCATTGATCCAGGCTCACACACAGGAAAGGGACCTCCCCACATCACATTTCAAACCTATAGCAATAAATAAACATGCTGACCGCATTGTTCCTGTGATCTGAGACAGATTGCACGGGGTCCCCAATTAAAGCTGTATCAGAGATAACAAGGTGTAGAGCTGGATGAACACAGCAGGCCAAGCAGCATCAGAGGAGCCATCC